CCTGGTAATTTCTTCACTCCCCTTCGCCCGTTCTTTCATCTCACCTTTCCCTCCCTCCTATTCTTCTTTTCTTTCCTTTTCTCCCCCATACTCTCTACAAATTTATTATTATTTTTTTATTAGACAGGCTCTCGTGTAGTTCAGGCTTCCTGCTAACTCACTATGTAGTCAAAGATGTCTTTGAACTCCTGCCTCCATTTACCAAGTATTAGGATTACAAGTATGCTGTTATGTTTGACTTTAAAACAGATTAATCTATTGTTTTTATTTTTGAGATGGAAGTGTAAACAAGTTGCTTAGGCTAGTATGGAGCTCAAGATTGTCCTAGTAGCTGTCTGGGCTGTCTGCTCTTATTCTTACATTCATGGTCTTACTTGGACACACTTTACGTAACCACCTGGAGGACAGAGGCCACCAAAGGATACCACTTCTGGGTTTTTTTTTTTTTTTTTTGGATATTTTATTTATGTGCATTGGTGTTTTGCCTGCATGTATGTCTGCTGGTGGTGTCAGATCCCTTGGCACTGGAGTTACAAACTGTTTGTGAGCTGCTATGTGGGTGCTGAGAATTGAACCTGGGTCTTCTGTTTTTTTTTTTTAGTTTTGTTTTGTTTTTGTTGTTGTTGTTATTGTTTTGTTTTTTATGAGACAGGGTTTCTTTGTGTAGCCCTGGCTGTCCTGGAACTAGCTCTGTAGAATAGGCTGGCCTCTAACTCACAGAGATCCACCTGCCTCTACCTCCTGTCACCACCAGCTGCAAACCTGGGTCCTCTGGAAGAGCAGTCAGTGCTCTTGGCCACTGAGCCATCCCTCCAGCCCCACCCCCATTTTTTTTTTTAAGCGAGGAAGGGTATGTATTAATCCTGATCCAAATCTGTTTTATCAGGTAAAGGAATAATTCTTAAGTGATTCTCCTCTGGTCATGTGTGCTAGATGATTTATTCTGACACAAGCTAGAGTCATCTGAAAGGAGGAAGCCTCAATTGAGAACATGCTTCCAAAAGAATTAGGTTTTAGGCAAGCCTGTAATGCATTTTCTTAATTAGTGATTGATGGGGGAGGGTCCAACCCATTGTGGGCAGTCCCATCCCTGAGCTGGTGGTTCTGGGTTCTATAAGAAAGCAGGCTAAACAAGCCACCTGGAGCAAGCCAGTAAGCAGCACCAGTCCATCTGTATTAGCTCCTGCCTCCTGGTTCCTGCTCTGCTTGAGTTCCTGTCCTGACTTCTTTGGTGATGAACTGTGATATGGGAAGTATAAGCTGAATAAACCCTTTTCTCTCCAACTTGCTTTTTAGTCACAGTGTTTTATCACAGCAATTAAAACAGTGGTACCAGCATAATGGGGTATTGTTGTGATAGACCTGACCATGTTTTGGGGAGGATTGTAGGACGACTTTGGAACTTTGAGCTGAAGAAGCCAATGAGTGTTGAGAGCTCAGTGAGCCGTTCAGTAGGAGCTTGGAAGCTAAGAATTCTGAGAGCAGTGCAGAGGATGGAGGCCTGGCTTGTGACACTGCAGAGGGAAGCAAAGATTGGGCCATTTGTGTGAAGAATTTGTGGTTCTGGTTTCTTTGGGGGCTGAATTCTTTTGGGGTTGAAGAATCAGCTGTGATTAGCAAGATACAAGAACGTCTGTCTACTTAGTGCTTGTCAGCTGTAGCTGAGAAATTAGGCATGATTAAGATGAGACCAGAGTAGCCAGGTGCTGTGGCTCATGCCTTTAATCTCAGAATTTGGGAGGCAGGCGGCTTTCCTGCCTGAGTTATAGGCCGGCCTGGTCTACAGATGGAGTTCCACAACAGCCAGGGCTGTTACACAGTAAAACCCTGTCTCTAAAAAAACCAAAACCTAAGGGGAGGGGTGAGAGGGAGAGAGACATTGAGGCGAAACCCTCTTGAAAGTGTGTCCTGAGAGTCAGCACACAGGAGCCTCATCCTTGTGCTGACAGATGAACTTGGTAGTGAGTCACCCAGGTGGTACTGTTTTTGAAGGTGTGAAGGGATCGTGGAGAGTGGCTGAGGCTTGGTATTGTGTGGTAGGGCTGGAGTCCAGTTGCAGCAGAAGGCCCCAGTGTTTTAGAGATGTCAGTACCCTGGAAGAAGAGTATGCCAGTAAGAAGAGCAGCAGCGGTGGAGTGGAACCAGCAGGAGCCTGAAAGACATGCTGTGTGTGCTGCAGAGGGCAGAGCCAGCCGGAGAAGTGACTCAAGCCCCTTGGAGGTGCCCAGAAGACTGCGAGTGAATCCCAGTGAACAATAGAAACCCTAAGATATTATGTAATGTATTTTTAAAAGCCACCTAGCAGTAACCCGGGGTGAGACTTGTTCAGCTCTAATGTGCTCACATTCTATAATTCTTTCAGTGTTTCTTGACTCAGACTTGAAGCAGAAAAGTCCTGAATTTTCTAGAATATCACCAAACGGAGAGGGAGTTTTCCTCTTCATTTACCCAAATGAGCTCAATTCTGCAAGAACCTGTCACCACATGTGACCTTGTGATCAAGAGTTACAATTAGGCTAAAGGCTCACATGAAAAAAAAAAAAAGCTTGTAGCCAAGTGTGGTGATCTGCTTGTAACCCTAGAATCTGGGAGACAGAGGCAGACAGATCACTGAGTTCAAGGACAGCCTTATCTACATTGTGTAGGCCAGGGCTCCAGATTGAGACCCTGTCTCAAAACAAAACAACCTAAAACCAAAACAAAATTTCCAAGTATAGACAAGAGAACATTTTCCTTTTGGGATAGCCTATCTCTTGAGTAGTATGTAATCAGATTTGAAGTAGCTAGAGCAAATGTACACACAGGCAACTTACCTATTTACCAAACAGTTGTTTAATAGATGTAGGTGAGATGACCAAGATGATTTATAAAATGTCTCTTCCTTTCCAGAGTTAAGAAGAGTGAGAGTTGGTTCAGCAGTTAAGAGCACTTGCTTTGCCTGCAGAGGAACAGGTTTGATTCTCAGCATCCACGTGGCAGTTCACAACTGTTTGTAACTCCAGGTCCAAGGGATCTGACATTGTCTTCTGACTTCTGAGGGCACCAGGCATGCATATGGTGCACATACATACATGCAGGCAAGGCATTCATACACATAAAATTAAATCTTAAAAGTTAAAAAAAAGATGAGTGACTGGAAAAATATACAATACAGCAAACCTTAAGGAGGCAACATTTAAGTGGTTTTTCCTCCCCAAGTCAGAAAGACTTATTTATTGATCCATTAGTTCCATGAATTATGTGGCTGGTGATAGGGAGGTGAATAACATACTTACTAGCCTCAAAGAGTTCAGTGTAACAATAGACACAGACTGAGATCATTTTAATGTGGTTTAAAAAGCAGAAAAGTGCATTATACTTTATGAGACTATTTGTATAAACTGACAACATGACCACTTCATAGTATGGTTAAGGGGAGGGTTTTATTATTAGGTGTGTGTGTGTGTGTGTGTGTGTGTGTGTGTGAGAGAGAGAGAGAGAGAGAGAGAGAGAGAGAGAGAGAGAGAGAGAAAGAGAGAGAGAGAGCAGCCAGAGGCATCTGGAAGAGTCCAGAGCAGAAAGAGAAAGAAGTAAACTGACATGGCCAGAGAGGGGAGAATAGCAGGGGACAGAGTAGAGTATAGAGAGAACAGTGGGAATAGCAGGGTGAGAAGGAGAATGAACTGAGTAGCTGGGTGAGGAAAGCCTGAGTGCTGGAGGGACTTTAGAGTAGAGGAAGAGGTGAGAAGGGCTAGGATGCTATCGTGGACTTGAAATTGGGTAACAGGTATTAGTGACACCAGCATGTCACTAATAAGCTGATAAGCACCACAGGTAGCCATATGTCCTTTCTGCCAGAGATAAGGGAAATCACTTCGTTTCGTTTCTTTTGGTAGAGGGGAAATAGCTTGGCAAGTTCCTGAGGAATGTTGGCTTTTATCTAACTGCCAGAAATCTTCCTATTGTCCAGGTTGAGCTCATTTCTGGATATTCAGACTGCCTTTTGGAGTTTGGGGACTTGCAGTTTCCTTTGGACCTGAGAGTATCTCCCCATGATGACAGGGTTTCTTTGGATAGCCTTGGCTGTCCTGGAACTAGGCTCTGTAGACCAGGCTGGCTTCATACTCAGAGATTCACCTGCATCTACTCCTGAGTACTGTGATTGAAGGAATGCACCACCAGTACCACCCTGACACTATTAAACAAGGGCACCCAACCTAGCTAAAGTTGAGTAGGAAATGGGAGAAACTGTCAGAAGTCTGACTGGAAGAGGCTATGTTTAAATAGATAGCCCAGGCTAGCTTCAAACTCATTATAAAGTTCAGGTATCCTTGAAATTTGGAGCCTCTTACATTCACTTCACAGAGCACTGCTGAGATTGCAGGCATGTGTCACCACAGCCAGCAGAATACAACTTCTTAATCATTGATTTTTATCACTTTTATCTGAACAGATCCGAGCCACTTTTCGTGCCATTCACAACACATTCAACTTTCTGTCCGGAGCCATTCTTAACTGTTTGCAGTAGGCAAGAACTCTGATCCATCGGAAGTTAACCTACTTCACCCAGATGGAACCAGCCCAGTTGTGTCTTTCTGGGCTCTGTGAACTCTCACCTTGGCCAAGCGGTGCACAAGTGCATCACTGCTCCAGTGTCACTGGAGCATCAAACGGGTATTCTCCAGAGAGAGCCAGCTCACCCTATGGGTGAGAATAAGTAGACAGATGTGACCATTCCAGAGTTCTAGCCCTGGTGCAAGGGCTTGGGACAGTGTGAGGGCACCGTGGCCTAACTTGGCATAACCCACAGCCAGAGCAACAAACCACCACCTTGGCTCAGTGCAGGGCTCTGAGCAGGGTCCCAGCGGGATGGCGGAGCTAGAGCCCGGCAGGAAGGAGGCGTGACCAACCCAGCGCGGCCCACCCCAAAGGCGCTCCGCCCCCGGGGTGACGTCACCGGCCAGCCAGCAGGCGCCATTTTGAAAGTGGAGTCGTCTGCCCCTGCCGCCGCGGCCGCCGTCGCTGTCGTAGCCGCTGCCGCCGCCGCCGCCGCCGCCGCCGCCGCCGCCGCCGCCACCTCGAGAGAAGGATCACGAGAGGGGAAGCCCCCGAGTGAAAGTCATCATCCTGCCGGCCGCTCCTCCCGGGCCACTTCCCTTCCGCCCCGGTTCCCGTCCCCTCCCCCTTCAGGTGCCATCCGCCTCCATCCGCGCCCTCGATCCCCCCATCCCCAGGTGAGGGGGCTGAGCCCCGGTCGCGGAGACCCCAAGGAGCCCGGCAGGGTCATCATTTGCAGCGCGACATGGCAGGTAAAGGAGAAACGGCCCTCGGCCGGCTGACAGGGTGCCGCTTCCTCAGTGCGCTCTCCGTCACCCCCTAGTGACTGTGGCGGCGGGGCCTTGGCCTGGGGCGCTGGCCGAGTGCGGGGCGGGCGGGCGGGCCTGGCACCGGGCTGGGATGGTGGGGCCTGCAGGCAGGGCCCCGGGCCTGGCACCGCTCGGGCACGGGTGCGGTGGGGGTGGGGGTCTGCGTGGGTGGGGCGGGTGCCGGCGTGCAGATGGATCCCCTCTGCACCCTGCTCCCTCCGCTCCTCCGCACATAGTCATTCCTCTTTTTCCCGTCTGCTGCGAGCCTTCCTGCAGAAACATATTCTGCACTGATGAGGAAGAGCGCTTTGCAAGTTAAAATACAATGGAGGCATATGTCTCCCCTCACAGCACCACACACACACACACACTATGGGTAGGTCAGATTTGAGAGTGGAAGCCTGAATTTCGTGGCGACTGTGCTCCCTTCCTTGGACTTAATCGTTGTCATCATGAGTGCTAGGCCTTTAATAGAACTTGTTAAGGATTAGGCTGGGAGGTTGGAAGAAACAGGTAATTTAAACTTTGCATTTTGCACGCTATCGTTTGTGCAGATGTCCTTTTCCCAGAAGGGTTTCTCGGAGTTAAAATAGTTGTGGAGTTCAGTGATATAAATAGCCAAAGAGAGAGGGAGAGATTTCATAAAAGCTTGCAGTGGGGGAAAAGCACGGAGAAAACCCGATTGAGAATAATTTAGCAAGGAATAGGTAAAGGAAAAGCGAGGGTTAATGGCCTTTGAGAGTTGGTTATCTTTGAAGTCCTTCCTGCTAGTAGAGTAATTCTGTATTGAGATTCAGTTTGTTTTCCAGAAATCCAGGAGTGAGGCAATTCTCCCCCCCCCCCCAATTTCCTCTTCAGACCGGGGCAGTGTCTGAGATTAAACCAGTTTTCCTTGTCTTTCAATGTTTACATAGATAATAGGACTTTTAAAGAAGTTATGTTGAGCTGATTTAGTTTGCTATACAAACAAGCTGCCCCTTGACCTTGCCGAACAATGAAATGATAATTAGAACTGTTTTGTAGGAGATGACATATTGGCAAAGTTGCTCTTTCCCGGTCCTTTGGGTTCTCTGGCTAGGTGAAGGGAGGCAGAGTCAGCATCCTTTGACCTGGTATTCATTGCCACCCCTTTTCCTGTGTCTGCAGCTAGTGACTTGCTCCTAATGAATGCAAAGAAATGGGTGTTGTGTTTGCTGTGTCCATGCTTCGGTGGTAGGGTTCACACGAATCAATCCTCAGGGAGTAATGTTCCCAAAGTTTTCTCTTCGTTCTATATTTCATGGTAGTTTAGCCTTATAACTCTTCAGTGGGCCCTTTGCACATTTAAAGGAAAACTAACTTTGGGTATTTATTTTTGTTTCTGGTAGGTCTTACTTGAAAGGCTCTGATTGTCTTCAAGGGGTACAATGATAATGATTGATAGACTGTATGCCTTTGAATATTTCATACCTGCAGTCTTGTTTTGAATGCTCTACCAGCTATTGGAGCCAAATTTGGTTCCAGATTTGTGGGCTCAGTGGTGGCTGTGTATGTAGTAGTCTCAGATACCATCTCTGTGTTTATGAGAGTAAACAGAATAGAACTCGGTTTTAATTGCTATGTTTTCTTCTAGGAGCTGGAGGAGGGAATGATATTCAATGGTGTTTTTCTCAGGTGAAAGGAGCAGTAGATGATGATGTAGCAGAAGGTAAGAAAGTTTAACCATAACAACTGAGTGTTGATTTAAAAGTCCTGGGTACTGAAGGACCATGAACTAAACTGAGCCTATTACACTTGAAGAATGTTTTGTGTCTGTTGTCCAAGAGGTGGGACAATAGTTTTAAAAATCATCTTTCTGAAAAAGTCTTTATATCTCTTTATGTCTTGTTTTATTTTTTTCATTGAATTAATGCAGTAAATGGTGAGCAGTAAGTGCTCTGAGGTTCCTGTAATTGAGGTTTTCTTGTGACATACATTCTATATGCAAATAACTGGACTTGCAAGTTTGTGTTTTTGTCTTTAGTTAAATATAAATAGATGCCAGCAGCACTTAGCTTAGAAATCTTTTATTCTGTGGGAAGACTTAGGTTCTTTTGAACTTAACTACTTTGCGATTGTAGTATTAGTTAACATGTTTGCTGAAAGAGTGCTGACTCAAATTATTTACTTTATTATCTTGCAGGGATTCATGTGTGCTGTTAAGATATAATAATAAACCACTTTTCTAGGGGACTTTTTGAGATAAAACCTGGCTAATTTATTTCAGAACTTCCTTGAAGTTTTAGAATGTGAAGGCCTTGTACTCATTTTGAGAAGGTCTTTTGTGGTAGAGACAGATACTCTCCAAAAGGATGGTTACATTATTTCTTTGCTCAGAAATATTTGAAGTCTGTGGTATTGGTAGGTGTAGGTGTGAGAGGGTTGGGTGGGTGGTGGGTGCAGACAGACATGAAGACAGAATACCTGGCTGGTCTTGGACTCAAGAGATTGTCCTGCCTCTATTTGCCCAGCAGAATAGTGGGATTTTTCTAAACAGAAGTCAGACAAGTTACAGCATGGACTTCTGATTTTCAGATGGTTGTCTGTGAAAATGTATGACCCTTTCTCTCAAGTGTACCTTTTCCTGGTGAGATTGGTGTTCCTCCTCCCAATCACAGAGTGCTGTTGTGAGGAGTTTTTTCAGGTGGTGGTAGGGCAAAGATTGTTGACTAACCAGATGTTTGTGTGGTGACATTTGTCACCGATGTATATTCAGTGTGGTGAGTCCTATTGGAAGTCACTGGTGTAATTGTCATATTTTATAAATTCTTCCATCTTTGTTTTTCTGGTGGGTCCTCATCCCTTTTCCACATGAGAAACCAGAAACTTGGAAGAATTAGAGAATTTGAGAGTGACTCAGCAATGGTCATCAAATCAGTGTGTGCTGGTTTTCTGTTGAACTCATTTAAAGAAATAAATCCTACGTACAAGAGGGTGGAGTCAAGTATTACCGATTTTGTAACTCCATTACCTGTTGAGTAGTAGGCTCTCAGATATTGGATCTTCAGTTCTGTGTTGTGTAATAACTCAACACATTATGAAAGTGCTCTGTACTTGGGAAAACATTCCTTGGTTGCATTCTACATATTCACCTTATCAGAGGTCTCCCGATACTGAGAACCTGGGGTGTGTGGTGTCTAGAACATAAGCTGTCTACCCTTAAACTCAGTTTGCTTGTTAATCATGGGGCAGAAGGCTTAGTCAGAAGAAATTGATTTTCTAAGCTGAACATCAATCACTTAATGAAACAAGTGATAGTTTGTGATCATACATGTACACACAAAACATTGATAGTCAGTTTTAATTCTTGTTTATTAGTACTTAATAGTTTCGCTCTTGATTCATTAAATAACTTTCTAGGGTACATACTGTAGTGACAACATAAATTTTCAAACGTCAAGACTTGGAGTATGCTTTAGTAAGAACAGAACTTGTTCTAGTACTGTGTCTTCACAGTACATAAGTAGCATTGTTTTCAAGTTACTCTGCTTTGATTTGCAGATTCTTGGAAACTATAGTTTGTCTATCTTTTTCTATTAATGTTTATCAAAGGGAAGTTTTGCTTTTCTAATGTAGAATATGATTATTATACATGGCCCATACATATAGATTATAATCTTTAGATGGTTGCCTCTAGCTCCATCTTTAGATTGCCTGCTTTCTGTTAATGATACCTTCTCATTTCTTTGTTGTCAGTGGCTTATAATATGTGAATGTCAGCTACCAAGGCATGCTGATTTACTTGTAATACTTTCATCTTCTATTCACATTTGTCCAGTATTGATTCATTCTGTCTGGGTTGTAGTTTAGGGTGTGTGTGTGTGTGTGTGTGTGTGTGTGTGTGTGTGTTTGTTCCTCCCCCACCCCCTATTTCTCTGTAGTTCTGGTTGTCATGGAACTATCTCCATAGAGCATGCTGGCTTTTGAGCTCACAGAGATCCACTTGATTCTTCCTAGTGGGTTTAAAGGTGTGGCTACCATGCTCAGCTATAGTAACTTTCTGAATAAGTTCTGTTTTCTTTTGTACTTTACTTAAAAGTTAATTTTAAAATGGTTTGTCATTTTTCTCAGATATCTTTAGTGGATCATTGGATTAGAAACAAAATTTTAGCTGGCAAAGTGTAACATTTCTTCAGTGTGGTTCTCTTAAGCTCATGAGACCATTGAACTGATACTGTTCAAGCAATCCCTCTGTACTGTACTTGTGATTGTTTTTGCTGTTCTGGAGATTGAACCCTGAGCCTTGTGCATGCTAGGCAATTGCTGTACCACTCAGGTATATCCTCAGCTGCCAATCCCATACTGGTATGTCTGACATCCTCCTACAATTGTTCCCTTATCAGAATCCTACTCATCCTCAGTCACACATAGAATCTTTTAATTACCTCCAGAGGAAATCAGTTTTAAAATCACTTTTTTACAGCACTTTGTTAAATAGATACTATATTTAGTGCCTTGAACTACTGGTACACTGTAAGCCTAGAGCCAGAGTGATCTTTGTTTCCCTACAAATGTCCTGTGCAAACTGCTCTGCTTAGAACAATACCTGGCACACCGTAAGCATTGAATATCTTGAGTAAAAGTCAGTGTTAACTGTTGCTAGGTTTTTGAAAGGTGAATAAGAGAGGTGAAAGGTAGGATAGTTGGGGTGCACTTCTGGCTCTTCTTACATATTATTTACTTGGCAGCCTTCCAGTTTCTGGTTTGCAGCTTATAAGAGAAGGCAGGAGCCCCTGCTCCAACATAAATGAGAGTCTTAATCTGTTGCTCTGGGTCAGAGCCCTTCCGGGTTCCTGTACTTAGACATAAAAATGACAGGGGCTGGATGAAGTGAGTGATTCTGTTTATTTTCTGCTCTGTTAGTTCCCAAAGATGTCAGAATGAGGTAGTGCCCCATGTTATTACTATTGATAAGTTTTAATAATAAGTTTTAACTGGATTGACTTCTTAAGGCTCAGGAGTTGTAAGTACAGAACAGAACTTGACACTCAGCCATGGGCTCTTGCTGCCTTTGGCTTATTTAGATCTTCCGGTCAGGACACCCATGCTATGATACTGTTCTGTTTACCCAGGTCTACAGGCATACAGCTTATGTACAGCTTATGTGTTTTACCTTCGGAATAACTTTTTTTTTTTTTTTGAGAAGAAGAAGTACTAATGTCTATCATTCTAGTTTTCTCGTGGAGTTCTCATGGTCTTTAAGGTCTCTGTAACACTATTGCATTTAGGTCTTTGATTTTCTTTGATCTTGTAACACCATTGTAGTGTTGGGCATATCAACTCACCCATGCCTCTTCATCCACTATAAAAAAGACTTACTGTAAACCCGGTCTTAGTGCTATTTTGATGTTTAAATGGATTTATACCTACAAAACAGAACACTCACCTTGCTGATAAGAATAGGCAGTTTTTGTTTTTTGTTTGTTTTGTTTTTGAGGCATGGTCTCACATGTAGCTCTGGCTGACCTAGTACTTGCTTCCTGGCTCTGAACTCACAGAGATCCACCTCCACCTACCTCTGTCGTATCTGGGGCCTGTTTTATTTTTTTTATTTATTTTGAGACTGGAACTCTTTGGTGTAGTCTATGCAGGCATGGAACTCAAGCGCTTCCTGCCTCAGAGCTGGTATTGCTGGTATTACAAGTGTACGTGAGCATGCCCTTCTTGTAAGAGCCTTGTCAAAATTTATTGTTACTTTGGTGCTTAGAGCAAGTAAGGGATAATTAGAGGGTGAGGAAATTGGGGGATTGTCTTATTGCTTTATGTGTGGGTGTTTTGCCTGCACATACGTCTTTGTACTATGTGTGTGCCTTTAGCCTATGGAGGTCAGACAATCTAAACTTGCAGTTGCAGACCATTGTAAGCTGCCAAGTGAGTTCTGGTAATCAGACTGGGGTTCTCTGGAAGAGTAGCCAGTGCTCTTATCTCCTGAGCCTTCTCTATAGCCCATAGAGTATGTATGGTCTTTAATAGTTACCAAAGCTTTGTTGGCCAAAGTGAAGGCATGGTAACCTTTATGTGTGGAAGCTCAAACTCTACACAACAGTGGATGGCCTTACTTCTGATCCTTGCTCCCACCTCCCAAATTCTGGGATTGCAGGCCATGCATGTCACCATGCTTGGACTTTTAAAAAATTCTTTAGTATAATGAATTTCTTCATATGTATATGTAACATTGTACTTTGCTTTTATTTGCTTTCCTCATGGTATACATTCTTTGATTGCACTAGCAGGGTCTAAACAAGTAGAAAACTGAGTTGAAGATTAGAGACAAATGTAAAGCTAGTACACAAAAAGAAGCTACTAGTTGGCCTAAAAGCAGCCCTTCTAAGCAGATGGAAGAAGTTCTCATGAGGTTGGGATGCCTCAAGCATCTTGACCTGGGTGTTGGTGTATAGATAGATATCTGTTTGTCATTTTTTATTAATTTGGAAATTTTTGTTTTGATCCCCCCTTCTGCCCCCACAGGGTTTCTCCCTGTAAAAGTTGTAGCTGTCCTGGAACTCACTTTGTAGACTAGGCTGGCCTTGAACTCAGCTGAGGTCCATCTGCCTTTCTCTCCCAAGTACTGAGATTAAAGGCATGCACCACCATTGCCCAGAAGCTGTCCCATTTTTATATACTTCCCCCACTTCATCTTTTCCCATTTATTGCTTTTAAAGTATGACT